GTCTATGTGAGTCAGTCTATGTGAGTCAGTTCGTTATAAGCCTTCCACTGCATAAAAACTCATCCTATATTGGTTGATTCTTGGTTCTGCCCATACTCATTGGAGTATGTAACAGTTGTGGTTCTCTTGTTAGGTTCATGGTGCTGAATTTCTTCAGCTCAAACGCGTTTTGCTCCTCTGTGCACAGGCGTTTGGATTCTTCAACTTTCTTGAGCTATACTCCTGACAAATAAAAACGTCAGTTGTCTTTCTCCGACTTCGGTGCCTGTTCAGCATGCTTAGTTGTATGAGCCATGGGGTTCGGGGGTGAGAGAGAGAGAGAGAGAGAGAGAGAGAGAGAGAGAGAGAGAGAGAGAGAGAGAGAGAGAGAGAGAGAGAGAGAGAGAGAGAGAGAATGGATCAGAAATCGCATTTTCTGTTTTGTTATGTTCTTTTGAGACCTGGATTGTGGTTCTCTTGTTAGGTTCATGGTGCTGAATTTCTTCAGCTCAAACGCGTTTTGCTCCTCTGTGCGCAGGCATTTGGGATCTTTAACTTTCTTGAGCTATACGTCTGACAAAAAAACATTAGTTGTCTTTCTCTAACTTCGGTGCCTGTTCAGCATGCTTAGTCGTATGCGCCATGGGGGTTGGGGGTGTGAGAGAGAGAGAGAGAGAGAGAGAGAGAGAGAGAGAGAGAGAGAGAGAGAGAGAGAGAGAGAGAGAATTGGTCAGGAATCATATTTGCTGTTTTGTTATGTTCTTTTGAGACCTGGGTTGTGGTTCTCTTGTTAGGTTCATGCCATTTTCATGGTGCTGAATTTCTTCAGCTTGATATGGGTTCACATTCGACAGTGAAGTTGTCATCTTGTCATGTCCCTTGCACATTGGTCTGTGCACAGCTCCTTTGTCTCTACCGTGCAGGTAATCAAAATGTTCAGGATGAGAAGCTAACTCATAAGCGCTGAACGCTTGGATCCTTTCCCTTGTCTCTTCATTGTTGCAGGTCTGCGTGGGATAGGGCAGCAGAAAACTGTCTATCACAGCTGAGTCGGAGTAAGGATGAGGAATTTCAGGTACGAGTCAATTTTGTGCTGATGCGGATCCAAAAGCACAGAGATGAATTTGGCAGTAAAATATATGTAGGCACTCGTACCTGTCTTCTGCGGCGCAGACAAAATAGGTGGCACGAAAACATACTTCCTTTAGCCGTTAGCACTGGATGCCCACCGTGCCCAATGGTTGTGGGAAGGAGCCCCCCCCCCCTCCACCCCCTTCCTCTCTCTCTCTCTCGCTTACACACACACACATACACCCACACAGGCACACGGGGATGTGGGCAGCTGCCGCTGAACCACAATCGACGTGGGCAGCGTTGCGTGTAAGAGGCACAGGAAAAGGGGAGCTGCAAGAACAATGAAAGGGGTACCCCAAGAACAACCAAAAAACTGTCTAATTATAAAATTGCTTTAATATGTTGGACATCTCAAATGCTCTCGTTGTCTGGAATAGGATAAAGACTGCTTTGATTCTGAATCTATTCACCTGGGTGGAATTGGGGCTGTTGTGGGGAAAATCTAAAACAAACACACACACACACACACACACACACACACACACACACACACACACACACACACACACACACACACACCGGATATACTTCTAAGTAGTAGATTCCTAGGATCATATTCAAAAGGAGTCCATCGCTTACCTGAAATGACAACTTGTGCGTAAGCTTGCCTTGCGCATAGGAGAAGGTGCGAATGACGTCCTTTATGCAGTCTTTTACTGTTATGGTCGTCTCGTTGTCAACTAAAATACTAACTCCAGTTCCACTTAGCGGATATCTGCAAGTTTAGGTGTCTGCTAAAGCCCTTGCTTTTTCGACCATTATACCTCCTTCCTCAACGAACAACTCCTCCCTTTGGACTCGTTTTCATTATTACCCAAGAAGCCATAAGATCTTTTTGGTACCAGTCCTTTCCTAGCTCTCCTAAGGACTCAGTCATGTCACAAGAGCAAAGCATCTCATGGTCAGACTGTGACTGTCAGGTAATGGCAAGGTCAGTAGCCACTGCCAATACAGACTTGGGGCTACCTCTACGGCTCAGTAAGTGCAGTTGGGACTCTACTTCCTGGGTGTGGACTTTACCTTCCCTTGACCTTGCTGCCAACTTCCTCAGCCTTTACACAACCCCTACTCCTCTCTCTAGAGCTACCTCTCTGCTGCTCTCTGCAGGGCTTGTAAAATCTATAGTCAGAATACTATCAACCACCTCGTCATTCCCCTTGTCAGCAATTTGGGCGTGTCTCTTCCTCTTCCAGTTATGGGGCATAAAGGAAGTAAATGTATGATGCTGGGTAATGGCTTCCTTTGATATTGTCGGGAAGGGACCCTCCCAGTCTCCACTGTTTTCGGATCATACTGGGCTCTTGGCGCTTTGAGGTGCTCTTCGGCTGTCTTGGTTAACACCATTGTTGCACCCCCCGACGGTCAGTGGCCCGTGACTGGTCAGCTGCCGACCTGCCGACCGATCGGCTGGTCGGCACCTACCAGTCGGGGGTCGTCGGCACTGTGCAAAAAAAAAAAAGAAAAACAATTTTGGGTCCAGAACCCCCAATAACACATCCAGCACCCCCATAGCGTCCCCCATTACCCCCAATACCCCCATAACCCCGCCGAAACCACCCCCAAACCGCCCCCAACACCCTCATTACCCCCGGCCCCCCCCAATGCTCCCTATACCACCCTTTTACCCCCCCATACTCCAACTCCAAACCCCCCATATCCCCCCCATCCCAAGACTTTCTCAGCGGATTTGGGCTGTACTCAGCAAGCGCAGTACAGCCCCCAACTGGTTGGCTGCAATTCGGTCGGCGGTCGGGGTCGGCGGTCAGCAGGGATGCAGCCCTGGTTGACACCTAAATATTGTTACCGAAAAATCATTAAGCTTTCAAGTCTCTAAAAGTCTGACCTCTTTTGAGCCTTTTTGCACTTTAGTCCGGCCTTGAAAGTGGTCCTCTACCATTGTCATAGCTGTTCTACCCATAACTTTTTGCCCACACAATCATATCGCCCCTGTACGCCTCTGCAATCTTTCCATTGAGCCAACTAGCCGCTGATCCTTGTAAGAGGAATGATGAGGCAACTATAACTTCTCTAAAAATGTATGTACATTCTTTGATTCTAATCTAAACTGGTGTATTGACATAAACCAGGTATCCTGGTTCTCGTCCATTTTGGCCCCTGTAAAAACCACGGTGGTCAGTAGTGTCCAGGTACTACAAGAGGTAGTGGTGCCAGTCTTGGAGCTGCCAACACCAAAGGTGAAGAATGCTGTCCTCGGTGTCAGGGCAAATACCCTGACAAGGGTATTTGCCAGGGTTTTTCAACGTCGAACGTTGTCGGACTCTTTCGTTGAGTTGAAGAACTTGGTGAGACTGACGGTTGCCAAAAGTTTATTCAGACCTAACCTATGACTGAGCGACTAAAAGTTTTTGAGCTTTAGTCCGGACGTTAGTGGAATCAGAGAGTAACGACTGTAACTTGCAGTGCATCGTTTTTGTCAAAACCGCAGAAGAGCGCGGATATGGGAACGCTAAAGCTAAATAATGTCGCGCGGCTTAGCAGCTGCGCGATATAGGGCCCAAGTAGGCTAAAAAGAATGGACACGCTGGGTATAGAACCGCGATGCAGAGGAAATGGGTTGCCTTTTCTTTTTATTTTTTTTGCGGGATTTGATTCCACACCGGTGGCTGAAAAACCCTACACCCTGGCCTACGAGACTAGGCGCCTGCCTGTGCCGCAAGCAAGTGGCCATCCAACGTAGGAGAGGGGGGCAGGAAGGGTCTGCTAGACTGCAAGGAGGGCCGGCAGGTCGATGCCGAGGCCTATCCGTTGGGCGACCCCGAAGCCGTGGATGGGCAGCCATCCGGAGCGGTAGACAGGCAGGTCCTAAGGCCTCAGGCAGGCAGGGCCCGCAAGGCCTCAGGCAGGCGGGGTCTGCAAGGCCTCAGGCAGGCAGGGCCTGCAAGGCCACGGAAGGGGGGATAGCGATTGGGCAAGCTCTTCTTATAGAAGAGCTGCTACTATCGCTGTCGTGATAGGAGCTAGCCCAGTAGGTTACAGTACAGGACTGTCACCCGGTAGATACCGGGATCGAATCTGAGAAGCCGCATCCTACTGGTCCAGCTCCTTTCGGAGCAGCCCAAGCACTTGAGCGCGGCCGATTTCGGCCGCACGACCATCAAGATCACGAGGCTGAGATCAGCCGCTCGCAGTTCAGCATGGCCCCAGCGCAAGGATGGCACGCATAAATCGAGAAAAGACCCATACATTCTCGTCGAATCCTTAGAGATTCGAACTCGGGTCTGTGTTGCAACAGTTCGCGAGGGGGGGGGTCCGTGATGTAACCGACGGCCAACGGGATAAACAGAAGAAAAGAAAAAAGAAAAAAAAAAACTAAAACAGATGTGAAAGAAGTGTGCCACTTGGCGCCCTTGGAAGTGCTTGGGGCTCTTCTGCCCCTGTAAACGTGACAGTGCCCAACGGGCGACTGTGCAGCAGCCAAGGTAAGTTCGTTTTTTTTTCTTTTCTTTTCTTTTTTTTTCCGTCCTTCTAGATTTTGTTTTAGATTTCTCTTTAGATTTTCGTCGTCTTCTATTTTCTTTTAGGTTTCGTTTATATTTTTTTTCCTTTTTTTTCTTTTCTTTCTTTTTTTCTTATTCTTCTTAAGTGCACTGAGCACCCGTTCGTTTCGGATGAACGGGTGTGACTGCGCCGGACTGTTTCGTCGGACTTCCACCGACTCATCAGGAGGCTGAACCTCAACAGTCTGAGCAAAAGCGGATGAATCTACCGCTAGAACATGGACTTGTACGCTACTAACGTGTGTGTGTGTGTGTGTGTGTGTGTGTGTGTGTGAGAGAGAGAGAGAGAGAGAGAGAGAGAGAGAGAGAGAGAGAGAGAGAGAGAGAGAGAGAGAGCAGGGAAGTCTCCATCTTGGCCAACGGCCTCATGGTACTTCCGTTGATAGGAAGAATAAAATCGCATGAACCTACGGGAATATACGGGCAACAGAAGAAGTGGGCGCCGAAAACGGGCGCCCTTTCGTTTTGCAGGTAAGTTTGTTTTTGTTTTTTTGTTAAGAGTTTTTGAAATTTCGTTTTAGAATTTTTCTTTTTTCTTTGTCTTTTTTACTTCGTTTTTTTAATGAAAAGTTGCGCCCGTTCATTTTGGAAACAGGCTGCAACTTTTAAAGACACGCCCGAACCTGGCGCTATCAGCGGCCGGGTGTGGGCATGAGGTTGCACAGGGGAAAGATGCCCCTATTAAGCTTGACTTTAGTTCGACTCTGTGAGATGACTACAGGGAGGGGGTGGCCGTTGGTTTTGAGCAACGAGTTGCCCCTTGCACAAGGAAATGAAGGGGGGGACAAGGGAAAAAAAAAAAAAGGAGAAATGTAACGGCTGCGAATTTGGTTGTGGCCGGGAAACAGGTGCAGCCCCAGAAGCTTCTAAAGGCTGATGGGACTGCGCCTGTTTGTTTTGAGCAGGCTAAAGTAAATGGCTAAGTACAACCATTTATAGGAGTATCTGGCTTGGGAAAACGACCAGGTACTCCTGGGGGTTGATGACCTTGGTACCCCTAGGGGAAAACCAAGGCATCTAGCTCTTGGCCGTTGATCTAGATCGAGGGCCAGGAGCACCCACAAATTTTGCTTGGCTGTGGGCAAAGCAGCTGCCCACATGCCTTCAATTGGCTATAAAAGCCAGCACTCCACCCAGCAGCCTCACACTTGTGGCAGTGCTGCTGGGCCATTCACTTGAGTGAATGCTGGTTGGCTGCCACTGTGGGGCGGTGCTGCCAGTGGAGGTGCTGCTGGAGGAGAGTTGGAGGTCTGCAGGATGAGGGGAGACGATGCTGGAGGAGTAGAGAGTGGAGGCAGCCATAGCCACCACTTCACTTTGTAAAGTGCTAGGGAGGTGCTGCGCGGCCATCACGGTGACGACAGCCATAGTCGGAGAGGTGGTGGGAAGGTGCTGTTCGTTCAACACGGCGTCGGCGGCCATT